GGAGAGCTGTCTTAAGAATAAAAGTTTCTGTCTTCTGTCTGCAAAAAACGTGGCTTTGATCTAACTGATTGAATGCTTAAGAGTGCAGCTGTCAAATTAAACACTCATTTTTCAAGAAAACAAATCTTTCCAAAGTGCTACTTACATGTCTTCTATTCTTGGCTTAAACTTCAAAATCAGAGTTGGTAAAGCTTTCATGCACTATAGATCTTCAGGAGTAAAGGTGATGAATTCTACATTGCTTTAGACTCCACTTTCTGAACAGGAAAAATATTGTAAAATTCCAATTTCATAATGTCTCCTTTTCCTGTTGCTCTTGTTTGTTGCTAGTTGTGAAACAATTGCAAAATTCAAGAACATTGGTTCTACTTGTGGCCTCTTATTTTCATGGAATAGTTTGAATAATGAAAGCTGAAAATACTAACCCCCTAAAAACTATATTCCCATCTGTTCTGCTTAGATACTGGACTTTTGGTCAGAATATACTTTTTGCTGTGCAGTTAGTGAACTTAAAAATTTGTGCCTCTACTTGCATATTACGCATATTTATACTGACTGAAAGAAAACAAAAGCATGTTATGTACCTGTGATGTGAAACCAGCTGAAATTGCTTTGATTCTTGTCATTCCCTAAAGTACAGGATGTTTTGAAGCCTGCCCTGTATATATATACATATACATATGTGTGTTGTGTGAAATATTAAAACAGAATTAGTTTGATACATTTCTATACAAATTCAACTGTTTGTGTTTGTGGCTTAAAAGTATTCCGGGTCTCTAATTTGCAGCATGTTTTTTGGGTTTATTTTTGGTGTGATATTACTTTCCCTCCAACCAAAGGTAATTCTAGAAAAATAGGATATTATGTTGATATAAAAGGTAATGCAGTAGGCAATGTCTTGAAAATCATATTGTTAACTGACAGCCTTCCAACATTGCATGTACTTGTTTAGCTTAAAGATCCAATAAACTTTTATATGTTGTATAGACCATGAACTGGAAGAGAGCTTTGTTCAAGAACTTGTTCTCCTCCACATTCTGGTGCCAAATGTCATAGGTTTAAAAACTTGAATTTTTTTTAAAAGCTTGATTTTTTTGTACAATCTCTAAAATGCTCAGAACTTCAATTTTATCCTTAGAGCTACTTGAAAGTATTTTCTTCCCTCATATATCTATCAATATAGAAAATAGTCTACGCTTTCATAATATTCCATAATGTTCTAGTGTTTGTCCCATAGGAATCCTTTACATACAGGTGTCAAATTATTCAAAGGACTGATGCCAAGATTTGAATATGTAATAGTAAGACATAATTAGTTTGGGAGTTTGGTTTGGGTTTTTTGTTGCTTTTTCCTTTTTAATGGTGGGTAGTATATTGACTTAACTACTATAGGGATTTCAAGTATAATGTAAAACACAGTTTTGGAGTAGCATGTTTGGGAGCTGAGGTGTTTGAATGAAGTAACATGCTTGCATTATTTGGAAAAGTACGATTGGCATAAGTTAAACATTTAAAAAATATCTTATTGAGATTTCTCTGGATTCTAAATATGGTTGAGAATACTATTAATCAATTTTAATAGCTCTTAAGTGTGATAAATCAGGAATTTCAAGGGTCCTAAAGGTTAGATTTTTAGTAAACTCTTATCTGTGCTAATATAAATTGCAATTAGCTTTCTCCTGTTATTATATTGCTATTACACTATTAACTAAATTTTCTATATTGCCTGAACACAAATCTGATGGAGTTCAAGAAGCATTTGGACAATGCTCTTGGACACATTGTGTGATTATTGGGGACAGTGCAGGACCAGGAGTTGAACTCATCTTGTGAGACCCTTCCAACTCAGCACATTCTGTGAGTCTAGGAAGTACGCCACTTAGATAAGTGAATATGATTTTTTAGCAGTCAGGCATAGGGATTTATTCTAATATCTGAAGGCTAAAGTGGATGTCCTATGAGTGTGTATTAGCAATTTAGTTTGGATCAGAGATGGGCTTTGGAAACTCCCAGTTGTCCCTACATATCCCACTTCACTTCTCATTGCTGTATCCTTAGTGAGGGTGCATTTGGGCTTGTCTTTGACAACATCAAACCAGAAAATGAACTCAGTGGGCTAACAGACTTCCAATCTATTGAACCAGACCAGAGCTTGTTTACATTAACTCATAATGTGTAAATATCTAACCCAGAAAAAACTCATTCTGAGGACAAAAATCACCAATAACACAGAAAGAACTCATGCTGCTAATGACTAATTGACCCCATAAAACCCTCTATTTTTACAAAATCGTTCTTTAACGATTAGGCTTTTTTTTTTGTATTATGAGTGTTAACTGTCTAATAATTGGTTTATTTTTGTTAAGCTTTTAAAACATTGGTTGGGCTAAATAAAGACTACTGGCTCTGTGTATAGGTATATTCCTTTTGTTCATGGCAAGATATTGAGTGTAACACTTCTCAGGAGAATGGTGCAATCAAAGACCAACTTCATTTTATCAACAGCCAGGAAGAACAAGTAGAAAAAGTAAGAGAAAGCAGAAAGGAACAAAGACTCGAGAGACGTCATTTTGGAGTATATGACCAACAAGGATGGATCTTAAAGCCAGAAAGTGGGCATTTTTAGTTCAGCCAACAATTCAGTGATGGGTTTGGTGCTAGTGAAGTACGAAGGTGGACTTAACTGGAGTAGAAGGATAATTTTTTATGGTTAATGAAAACTAAAGGTCCCTGGAAGCAGAATATAATAGCAGTGTAGAGAATGCATTTAGCAGGTAGAAGCCAAGCTGTGTTTCAGTACTGCCAGAGGATATCACATGAGAATTGACCACGCATTGCAGTTTTTGAAGTTCTGGTTGGACATTAGAGAAAAAGATTGAAAGACATCTAATAAGGCACATAAACACTGGAATGAGTTGTGACATTTCATTGAAATTTTTCAAGATTTAGCCAGACAAAGCCATAGCTGAGCTCATCTAATGTTTTCTGTAGTTACAGCTAGAGCCAGGAAGATGGATAAGATTGGTCTTGTAAAACTTTGTTTAATTTTAAATTATTTTATTTTAAATTGAAAGATAAACAGGGTTTTTATATTATCTCCTGTTATAGAATATTACCAATCACTGATTTTTCAGATTATGTTAGTTTTGTTTTGATAACATGAAATAATAGTAAAAGCATTTTGTTTTTGTGCACACTATAAATGGCTACAAAAACTTAGAAAGGACACATTACTTAGGTATTTTACATTTACGTTGTCTTTCTAGTATGTCCTGGTTTTGGCAGGGACAGAGTTAATTTTCTTCCTAGTAGGTGATGTGATTTGGATTTAGTATGAGAATAATGTTGATAACACACTGATGTTTTAGTTGTTGCCAAGTAGTGCTTATACCAAGTCAAGGATTTTTCAGTTTCTCCTGCTCTGCCAGCAAGAAGGCTGGATGGAGAGAAGAAGTTGTGAGTGACACATCCAGGAGAAGATGACTCAAACTGGCCAAAGGGATATTCTATACCGTATGATGTCATGCTCAGTGTATATAAACTGAGGGGAAAGCTGGCTTGGTGCATCTGCTTGTGAAGTGTCTAGCCATCGGTCAGTTGGTTGTGAGCATTGTGATCACTTGTTTTGTATATTATAATTCTTTCATCATTATTGTTATCATTAACATTATTGTTATTTTCTTCCTTTTGTGTCCCATTAAACTGTCTTTATTTCAATTCATAAATTTTCTCACTTTTATTCTTCTGATTCTCTGCCCCATCCCCCTTGGGGTGGAGCAAATGGGTAAGCAATCAGCTGTGTGATGCTTAGTTGCTGTCTGGGGTTAAATAAAAACACAATAGTAAGTTACAGAGGTAGTTACAGACATATTAAAAGTCTTTGGAAGCATGTTATTATCTTGGATAGCTGTGAAAAGTAGAGTTAGAGAAATTAGATTGGATGGTTCTGGATAGTCTATACTTTCAGGTTACTTAAGAAAAAAGAAAATAAGGGAATATAAGTCACTGTCTTGGGAGATAACACTTATGAGAGATTAGAAAAATTAATCATTGGAGATATTGAAGGAGGGAATACAAACCCAAGAAGATAATTTATTGAACACAGAGTCCCTTTATCCAGAGGAATAAACAAATGGGTCAATGCATCAAAGAAAGAACAGATGCAGAAAAATGAGGATGCAAAAAGTTAACCAAATGAACTGGTCAGAGCATGAGAGGCCTGTTTGGTTCCAGTCCTACAGATTTTTTATCACTGGTGAGAAATAACTGTAAATCCTAATACGCAAGGCATAAACACCTTGAATTTTTAATGAGTAATAAGTGGTGTTATTTGTAGATCGTCCCTTCCTTTCTGAGATACAGCAGGTTTTCAAGTGCTTGTTTGTAGGAGCAAGTGCAGAAAATAGTGTTGCCTCTAATTTTATAATTAAGATCTTCTCAACCTGGTGAAAGAAAGCTAATGCAGCTGAAGGTTCTTTATTCATGTCCTCAAGACTTGCCTCTTCATAAAATTTTTCAACACACTTTCGTACAAAGGAAATTCTTACTCTACACTTAACACCAATAAAAATCAGAAAACTATATTTGTTGGTATGCTTGATTTAATTCACAGTATTTTCCATCTTCATTTATTCCAGCTCGTTTTCTTATTTCTTCCATATTCTCTTCTTGAGTCATACACAGTGAAGTCTGTTTGACTTTCTATGTGGTTTTAACATATGCTTCAGTTTTACAGACTGTTGATGTGTTAGCGGATGTTGACACAAATTTGAAAATAGTTGGAAAAAAAAAATCTAAGTGAAATGGAATTTTCAGATTAGCTTGGTTGAGAAAAGTCTATGTTTTGATTTTTTTTTTTTTTTAATGAATCCTGGACCTCTTAACATAGAAGTAATTTAAATATCATCTTAATGATCTTCATTTGGTTTGTTGCTGTAAAGAAAACTGCTTACTGGAAAGATCTTCATTAAAGACATATGTTCTTTTCTTTTGAACTGCAGCTCACCACAGCCACCTTGGATGGCAAACTTCGATTGTTTCTACCCTGATACTCGCCAACCTGTGGAGCTTTGGCCGTGGTACTTTGAGAATAATGACTTGATGAGAGAAAGGAGACTGGTAACTGGCCAGAAGCAAGTAGCATAATATTCCCTTTTAAACTACAGTTTTCTTCTGATATTATTTTCAGGAAGTTCCTCAAGCTGTTCTCAAAGCTTTCTGCTGTAAAATGTTACCTTTATTGGAAAAATAAGGATGAAAGATCACAAAAAGGAGGAGACTACTCATTCTGACTTCGTTCTAGCAAATCACCGCAGAAGTGGCTTTCAAAGGTCTTCTTGGGTTCTCATGGTTAGGTGCATTCTGTAGTGCTTTGCTAGACGGGGACCACTTTAATCTAGAAAATTCAAGTAAAATAACAAGTGTTCCATTTTTAAAGCTAGATCTGTTTGTGAGAAATGTTTAAATTAGTCTGAAAGAAAGAAGGATTGTATGCCTTTCTGAAATGCCATGAAAGTCCTTCTGCTATACTTTGGGGTTACTGGAATCAGCATGGATGTTGTTTGACATAAGAATTTTGCTGGTTTACTATTTATACCATTTTGTAAATTTCTTAGTGAACATGTGACAAATGTCCTCTCATTAAAAGAATCCATTTCTGTCTTTTAAATAACTGTTAAATATTTTCAAAAATGTTAAAATAATATGAAAATAAAATTATCAGAAAAAAATGTTCATTTCTTGCATTATTCCTCAGTTACTTGTCTTGCTCTTAGAAAAGAGTTTTTAGACAACCTTTTTTGTTTTGGCTATACATTATCATTCTTCATTGACTTTAGCTAAGAGTAGAGAGCATATATGTGACTGGCAAAAGGAGATGGAGTTTTTCTTTTCCTTGCAAAATTGTGCTGCCTTTTCAAAGTTAAAATTCCTAAAACATAATTTATTAATCAGATTATTTAAAAAAATAAAAAGATTAAAAATTTGAGATACTACCCCTACTTTAACACCAATCCGTAAATCCAGATAATTTTCAGTACTGTAAAGAATGTTTTAATAGCTGCCCTTAATTTTTGCATATAATATTAAGTAGATTGAGTTATTTCTATAAATTGTTTAGTTTCCATTTAACAATCTTTTGTAAAGGATTTAGAAGTTTTTTTCTGAGCAAAATCATACACTGGTGGGATACACTGTATCATATCCAGGTATTCTCATGTTCTCTAGAACATAGTGATATCATCAATGACTATAGTAGTGCAGCCAGATCATACTCAGCAGAACTCTGAATATCAGAATAAGGTTTTGTGTGATCAAAGAAAATGTGAAATAACCCATTTCAATACTTTTAAATACTCTTTCAGTTCAAAATCAGATTAACCAAGAAATCATCCTCTGTGTTGCCGCTAAATGCTGGTATGCCACATTTACAAATAATCGGCAAGATTTAAATTTTAATTTCCACCACAGGGGTCTTCAGGATGGTCTCATTCAAATTTAATTTAGCTAATTTTCTCATCTGCATGCTGTGAATTCCACATCAAGAGTCACTATCTAATACAGAAGATAGCCCATAGCTGTATTTCCAAGTAAAGTGTTTCTGAGCCCTGGATTGCAACTTAGTAGTGACTGACTCTTCAGGCAGGTTGAAATACCTGCTAAAAAAGAGCTATGAACTGTAATTATGACTTTTTTAAAGAAAGCACCACATTTTTTTTGACAGAAGAATAATATCCTCAGGCTTAAGGCAGAAGACACTTAGAAAAACTATGGATTCTTGCTGCAAGCATGGAGATTGTCACAATCCCCATTGGACTGAAATAAAAGGGAAATATTCAATTTTCTAGATCTCTTACCTTCAAGAACTACCTGCTGTTATTACCAGTCAGACAGTGTGTATCCTCAAAACCCCTTCTAATCTTGAGCTAGTTTAATCTCTGAACTTTTCTTCTAAATATAATGTATTATCTCTCTTTCCTTAAAGTGAGACTCAGCTGTATGCTGCTTTCTGGTACTTTTATCAAGGACTTTTTCAGGATAGAAAACTCTTCGGGGCATTTTGGCTGTGACCACAGCATCATCAATCCATGCTGAAGAGAGACATTCATCTGTTCAGCCCTTGCAGATGTGCAGCTCTTCCACAGCCCAGGAATTTGTTAACCCCTTTTTGCCTCAGGGGAGACAGAGAATCTGCCCTACCACACAGGCACTAGAACTTTTCAAATGGAAATTCACTGTAAATTTTTCCATCTTAAGAAAGAAAAAAATCCCCCCCCGGACTCCTCATAAATGCTTGAATGCTTGTGGTTTTGAGAATGGAAAACTTTAGCTGACACACTTCAAGTTTGGCAAATTTAAGTGCTTGAAAGAAGATTTTTCTAATGGCAAATAGGAAGAAAAAACTGTTGTGGATGGTGTTACCATCTTATAATATTATATTTAGAACTTTCATAATTGCTAAAATTTTAATAATCATAATGCTTCTGAGATCTTTTTAACAGAAGGACACAGGAGAGTGTACTTAATTACTAGTTAAAGTCATGGGGGTGTATCCAGAGAAGCAGCATCTATACCTTTGTGTTTTTAGCAGGAAAACCTGACAGTCTATATGTTCAGTTTCTGTTCTAAAGACATAGCTATTTGAAATTAGAAAGTCCCAAAAACAGATAGGAAAGATTCCTGGTTAGCTAAGGTGGATAGCATGCTCCGTCTAAAAACATTGACACAAACAGCTGCAAGTGTAAATAATTAATATGTCATTTAAAGGAATTTTGAATATGCTTTTAGGGGAAAAAAGTGATTACAATATAACTCCTATTAAGAAAATTGAAAGTCTTGCTTTGAAGGAATATGTAGCAATATCTGAGGAAAACAGCTGGCAGAAGAATAGTCTAGTTTTATTAAGTATCTGCTGTGTCATCTGTCCTTGAATGTCCTATATGCTAGGGAAAGGAGCGGTGTTGTTGTGACTTTCTGTGTGCTGTTATGTGGGGGACTTTCCCAGCTGAACATCCAAATGCCACAGAATTCTTAAAATGCACAGCACTTTTTTTTTCTGGTGCAGTAAAGGTCAGAAAGCACAGCAGGGTGTCCAGAACTGTTGTGAAGCAGATACTGTTAGAAACTGTTTGGAATTAAGCAATTTGCAAAATATCAGGTATATCAATTTGCAAAACATCAAGTACCCAGTATTCTGTATAGAATCAAATATACAGGCAAGCTTGGATTGTACTATCAGGAGGAGGGGAAGAGCAAGCCCATGAACTCTGCTTTCTCTTGGCCTTTTCTATTTCATTAATTCACCATGAAAGAAGTGCTTTTTGGATGTATTCTCCAAGACTATATTGCTTTCCATTATACATTATGATTGTATTTAGATACAAAGTTATATAACTCTGGAATATCTGGAGGTAGTCAGCAGCACTTTTCTTTTTTCCATTAATTTTTCATTGAATCATACCAAATTTTCTTTTCAGAACTGTGTTGTGGCTTTTATTTTCCCTTTTAAAAAATGAATAGAGCTATTTGTCTCATGGCATTTTACTGCAGAAAGATAAAATATCAATAAAAAATATACAACTGTTTAAAAAAATTTTGGTGTGTGCCTACTAAGTAAAAATGAAGTAGTAGGGAATTTCTGTTAAAATCTAATTTAAGATGCCTTGCTTCAATGCATGAGTGGCAGTCCAAAAACATGGAGCAACAGAAACTAAAGACTAAAATATGATCTTCCCTGAAATCCTTGCAGGTTTGAAAGTGAAGTTAAATTAAGGTGAGTTAAATCTCTAACTTTACTTCCCTCCAAAGGCAATGCAGTGAGGTAACATTAAAAGCTTCTGCTCGGTTACGTTGATTCAGCCTCAGCTGAATTGTCCTCTTTTAAGGCCAATGTAAGATGCTGTTCTGGGAGATGCTGTTTTTTTATCCTATTGTCTACATTGAACTTCTACCCACCAGCATTCTCACGATCATTTAAGCCAAATTCTACTCTTCAGAATTCTGCACTTCATTAAAACCAGAGTAATTCTGCATATTTTTGTGAAAAATGTACAGCTGGTAATGGACTCTGTCTCAGGTATTTTAATAACTTTGAAAGGGAAACAGTATACTTGTGTTAATAACAAATCTTTGTTGACAAAATGGTATCGAGTCTAAAAGCTGAATACACCTGTGAAGGGCTACAGAAGTCACTGATGTCCTGTGTTAACTGATTTATGTTAAATCTTTATGTTTGATGTGAATATAGTGTCTTTAACTAAAAACTCACCTTCATTCAAAAATTAGTGTTAAACTGAACATCTTTCATATATATATTTTCATGAAAACTGCATGTTTTAAAGGGAGATACTGGACCAAACAGAGTAAACGGTGTGGCATAAATTATATTTATTGCTATGATGAATTTGATTTAGCAAAGCAATATACATTCCATTCCCAGATTAAGACCTTCCAAATTAGTTTTGTGTTGTGTCTGAAATGAAATGAACCACAATGAAACATTTCCACTGACTTAGGTAATGTATACAATGAAATTCATGCCTTCCCTTCTGTCCAAACAAGAGAGAGATTTTTACTTCTTTGGTTTTGTTTTGCTGGATGAAAATAAGTTCCAAAGTACAAAGGTATTGTAAAATAATGTTACAATTAGCTTGCCTCTATCATCCAGTCACAGAAGACCCCCTGGGAAGTCATCTCCAAAGATCAGCCCAACAGCCCAAAGCATTTACTTCTAAATCATTCATAAAAGATATTTGTCTTAACTGCTCCTCAAAACCTCTGGTGACAGAGGTTCCACAGCCTTCCTAGGAGGGATATCCCCTTGGTGCAATTTAAACACATTATTCTCTGTCTTAATCCATTAAGTAGAGAGGATAATTCATTACCTTCTTGTTTTAGCAACTTGACATACTTGACAGTTGTTATTATGTCTCCCCCTCAGACTTCTCTTTTCTGTTTTAGACAGTGAAAGGTCATTCAGTCTATCTTCAAAGGTCCTGTTTTCTATACCTCTGTTAATTTTTGCTCTTTTCTGAACTTCCTATAGTCCCATGTTCCTCTTTCTGGCAGTGCAGTGCTCTTGAAAGTTTAGATCAGTATGTGCTGTGCCAGTGCAGTTGAAGGCATGAAGGCATGGCTTGGTGCCTCTTAAATATGGAACTCATAATCTGGCATTCCACTGTGCTCTTTTGTCCACAGATATGTGGCAATACTGACTCATGTCCATCCCCTAGGTTTGCTGGATCCTTCATTTCAGCTAATTTTTCCAGCTGGCCAGCATCAAATTTCATTCTGATCTTGCGCTCCAAACTGCCTCCAGCCCTTCAGTTTTTATTTTTATTATTTTCTATTAATCATAGGGTAGAGAAAGTGGATTGCCTGCTGATTTGGCTCCTAGATTATATATTCTGCCATAAAAGGTATTCTTTTATTTCTATTGCTCTACATGGTCATGCTGATGAGAGAAGATATTTAGTGGATAATTACCTGAAATTACTGTTCCTGGTGAAGGCAGGGCACTTCAGCTTTTACTGATGTTGCTGAGGACAGCAACATGTGTCATTGTTACTTTATTATTTCATGGTGCAAATTTTGTCTTCTGTGGGAATCCAGGGCTTCCCTCTGGCTACCCTGGTAGGTCTGGGACCCTGGCAGGGGGTCAGAAACCCCCCTGTACAGAGCCCTGAGAGACACTGTCTCTGATCTCTGTCCATGGAAAAGAGTATTCAATCTTACAGGATGAATTACAAGCTCTGAGTGTTTCATATGAGTAATAATTAAGTGTGGCACGGGTGCAAAAGTAAAATTTTAGGATTCTAGATTAGGGGTTCAGAGGGGACAAGATGGAGGAAATTGTGTGTGTCTTGTCCTTTTCCTCCTTCTTCATGCCCTCCATGTTTCACTGTAGTGTTGGCATTTTTCTATTGGTTTAGACTGGGGACACACTGTTCAACGTAGATGATAGATATTGGCACATTATTGTAAATATAGCACACGTAGTTTCTGGTATATAATGTTTGTAACATCCCACTGGGGGCAGAGCCCCGCACGCTGCCCTGCAGGACAGACCTGCGGCAGGGCAGCAGAACATGTTAGAGATAAGCAAAAATAAACAACCTTGAAAACAGCACAGACGAATTATGGCTTCTTCTTTGGCAAAGGGGCAGAAAGACAGAGACTTTCTACAATCTCGGAATCATCAATACCCACAGATTCCAACACTCTTCCTTCACTCGTCCAGACTTTGTGTAGAGGCATTAGTCCTCTGCTGTAAAAAACAATTTATGTGCAGACATTTTAGTTTTATCTGAAGGCATGGGCTTTGAAACACTGTTGGTCTCACTTTCCTTGTAGGTTCAAGGAGGTTCATACAAATCATGGAATAGTTTGTGTTGAAGGGAACTTTTAAAGGGCATTTTGACACGATCTTCTACCATGAACAAGAACATCATCAACTATATTAGATTTCTCAGAGCCCCACACAGCCTCGTTTTGGGTGTTTCCAGGATTGGGGCATTTATCACCTCTCTGGTCAGCCAGTTACAGCATTCCTACCATGAGAAAGGCAACAGGTGCTTGGACCAGCTATGTTGGCCAAAATGACTTCATGATTGTTTTATACTGAATCTCTCCAGTCATTTTCGAAGAGTGGTTCCTCATTTGCACTGGTAGAATGAAGGTGAGTTAAATCTCTGACTTTACTTCCCTCCAAAGTCATTGTAGTGAGGTAGCAATAAATGCTTCTGTCTGGCTGTGTTGATTCAACTTCAGCAAATTATCGTCTTTTAGAAGGGACAGCAAAAAAACCCCAAACTATTACTATTCTTATCTTCAAGATGGCATTTTCTGATGTTTTATGCAGCTTCCATGTAAAGGCTACGTTGTGCCACTTCAGGAGCCTACTGGACCTACTGGAGGTTCCTGGCTGCTGTTTCTCTCATTAGCTGTGTCAAGGATAGGGAGCCTGGATATTATTGCATAGTATGTCTCTGAGCAGTTGAATAAGAAGAATAGAATTCTGCAATTTTCTTGAAGCCAGAGGAAAAAAGAAAGCTATGTAAGGTAAGCAATTTCTCCATCAGATTCTTCTTGCGACAATTAATAAGAAGGAAAGCAAAGGATAAAAGTGAACCTGATTTTTCTGCGCCTTGTTTTAATTTAAAAACA